GGGAGATACAGTGTACACAGTGATAGTTCATAGTGTCATCAGTGACCGCTGAAGTTGTAAATAACTTAAAGTGAGCGCTCACTAGCAAGCAAGCTGGAAAGGCACCGTGCCAGCTGAAACCAAGTCGTGTCATAGGTGCCACAGCGACTTTAAATTTTATTTTGTTTGTGTGCTTTCTCAAGGACTGAAACTGTGCCTACAATACACCATTCACAGGGAGATACAGTGTACGCAGTCGCAGACGACAACTCTATAGGCAACAGAGAGTAGCTAAGTACTTTATCTCTCTTTATTTATTTTTTTGAAATGGGTGTAGATTTATACACAGTCTGCACCCCCCCCCCCGCCCCACAACAACAACAACCATGAGTTTGATATGTGATTACTGCAGGGAGACGTCGGATATGGAGGATACAGGCCTAACTAATGCAACGCTTAAGAAGTTACTAACTGCCGTAAAGCATGATGGCTGTTGCTGGTATTGCTCTGGCTGCATAGTCAAGGTGAATGAAGCGATTGCAATCCATAAGGGAACGAGTTCTCTAGGGACGAAAATAAATGAAGCAGGAGCCCTGCTGGTTGACAAACTGGAGCAAGTTGGGAAAGAGATCCTTGCTAAGACTGAGGAAGTAGCTAATAGAATGGAGGTGGTTGCTAAGAGGAGTTATGCTGACGTATTAGGAGGGCCACGGGGGGGGGCGGAGAGTAATGCAGAATCAGTACAGGTTCTACAGCAGATTGGGACTCTGAAAAAGTGTGTCGAAGAAATGAAAATTAACGCACCGACTGTTAGGGGAGAGGAGGAACACCAGGAACGGCTCCAGCGCAGGAACAATGTAATAGTTTTTGGAGTCCCAGAGAGCCAGGCAGAGGGAACTGTGAGTAAGGAAACACACGACAAGGTGCTGTTTCAAAATATTTGCACAGAGGTTCTGAAGATTCCATCAACCCCTCAGGATGTGAGGAGACTGGGACAAAAGCAGGGGGCTAAGCCTCGCCCCCTCAGGATCACACTAGGGAGTGAGGAGGAGAAATGGCAAGTTATTCGGCAGGCAAAAAACTTAGCAAGGAGCGAGGCATTTCGGGATGTATTTATTCACCCAGACCGCACGGTAATGCAGAGGGAACAGCACAAGAAGCTCCTGCAGGACTTGAAGCAGAAGAGGGAGGAGTCGAGGAGGAACGGGGACAGGTGCACATGGGTTATACTCAGGGGGAGGGTAGTGGAAACAAGTGTGCCGACACCCGGGAGGCGGCACCAGCTCAGCCTACCGGACAGGAGGGAACGAGCGCCGTGTAAACAATGACATTTTTAACCACACCCTGCAAAATACAGTGTACTTAGCAAATGCTGCAGCTTCTGAGAATGTGGGTGGAGCGGGTTTATTACTAAGAGCAGAGACGTTACCGAGAACAAATTTTGGCTTGAATGTCATGTACACTAATACTGACACGTTCCTTGATAAGAGAGAGGAGTTTGAAACACTACTAAGAGTACACCAACCAGATATTGTAGGAGTTGTAGAACTGTTGTACAAGAACATGAGAATCGACCCAGAGGAATGTGAGTTCAGTATTGCTGGATATGACTCATTTACGAACCTAACTCAAGAATCCTGCAGGAGGGGTGTGGTTATCTACGCTAGGCAAGACCTTAGAGCCAGCCAGGCGAGGGTACAGGGAGAGGATGTTTTTGAAGAGTCCAAGTGGTGTAAAATTAAATTAAAGGGAGGGGACTTACTTATCGTTGGGTGTATCTACAGATCCCCAAACTGTGGCCCACTAAATCAAAGGAACTTAAGAACCTTAATAAACAATGCGGCGATGCTCAACCCCAGCCACCTCCTTATCATGGGGGACTTTAACTATGGCGACATCGACTGGAGAAACGAGTCCACCCCGAATGACTTGAATAATCCTGCTACTCTTTTTGTAGAAACTCTGAGAGATAATTTTCTGTTCCAACATGTGAGAGACCCGACACATTACAGAGGGGAGCAAACACCCAAGCCACTTGACCTCATCATAACAAACGAGGAGGGTATGGTGGCCAAACTGGAACACCTTGCCCCAGTTGGCACCAGTCACCATACAGTGTTGTCATTCAGATTTAACTGTTACCTAGTTCAAGATAAGGCCAGGCCAAGGTGCAAATATTACAAGGGAAATTACAATGGGATGAGGGGTATCAACTGGCCTGACTTACTAAGGTACAAGAACGCAGACACTACGCTGAATATCATAACTAGTAAAATGACCCTTTTGATCGATAAATATATACCCAAGACCAAACCCAGTGCTTCTAGGAATACGAGGGGATCCCTACACATGAACCATGCGGCGGTCGACAAAATTAAGAAGAAAACCCAGAAATTCAAGACGTGGGTTGGGTCAAACGATGAGCAAGACAGGAGGATGTATGCAAGAGCCAGAAACCAAGCAAAGATAGAGTGTAGGAGGGCTGAAAAGGAGTTCCAGAGGCTGGTTGCACGCGAGGTCAAGTCAAACCCAAAGGTGTTTTACCGCTATGCAAAGTCGAAATTGAAAACGCGAGTAGGAGTATCAGACCTGAGGCTTGAAGATGGTAGTTACGCAGATTCTGACCAGGATAAAGCTGAGGCTTTGAACAGCTTCTTTTCCTCAGTGTTCACAAGAGAGGATGCAACTAACCTTCCTGCGTTTGAGGACAGACGGTTCGACACAGCACTGACCCACATTGTGTTCACAGAAGACGGTATTAGAAATAAACTGTCCAGGCTAAAGGTCCATAAGAGTCCCGGACCTGACATGGTGCATCCTAGAGTGCTAAGAGAGCTGTGCAACGAGCTTGCAGAGCCCCTGAAGATTCTGTTTTGTAAATGCCTGGATGAACAAATGGTCCCCAGTGAATGGAAAGTGGCTTATGTGAGTCCTATCTTCAAGAAGGGCGATAGTCACTCCACGAACAACTATAGACCGGTGAGTCTGACCAGCATAATATGTAAAGTACTTGAGAGTATTATCAGAGATGCCGCGATGGAACATCTACTACGAAACAACCTTGTAAAAGATTGCCAACACGGTTTTATGCCGGGGCGCTCTTGCTTGACACAATTGCTCAAGGTATTGGATATTTGGACCCATATTCTAGAACGGGGTGGTAATATCGACAATATTTACCTAGATTTTGCCAAGGCTTTCGACAGTGTACCCCACGAAAGGCTGAAAATCACACTGGAAGGTACGGAATTCGGGGAAATGTCCTAGCGTGGATAGAAGACTTTCTACATGACCGCAAGCAATGTGTGGTGATTAATGGCACGAAATCGTCATCTGTACCTGTAACAAGTGGGGTACCGCAGGGTAGTGTATTGGGCCCGCTGTTGTTTGTTTGTTTCATAAATGATATGCCTGACGTTGTACCCTCCTCCATACAAATGTTTGCCGATGATGGCAAGTTATTTCGGGAAATTAAGAACCAAGCGGACTGTGAAGAGCTGCAGAAGGACCTCTGTGGGCTCCAGGAATGGTCGAAGGAATGGCTGCTGAGATTCAATGTCACGAAGTGTAAGAGGATGCACTTGGGGCGTACCAACGGTAAGGAGGCGTATCATATGTCCCAACGGGATGAAGAAAATGTACTAGTTGAGACTGTGTGTGAGAAGGACCTAGGTGTGTATGTTGACAATGAGCTGAAGTTCTCGGGCCATTGTGAGAAGAAGGTAAATCAGGCAAATAAATTATTGGGTCTTACAAGAAGGTCGTTCAGATATCTAGACGGTCCGTCCCTCGTGACGATCTTCAGGAGTGAAGTGCTTCCCCATCTGGGGTACTGTCACCCCATCTGGTCCCCGAGATATGCTAGGGACTGTCAGTTGGTTGAAAATGTTCAAAGGAGGGCCACCAAACTGGTGCCTGCACTTCGGCACCTCAGCTACCCTGAGAGATTGGAGCGCCTGAACTTGCCTAGCTTATACTACAGACGGGCAAGGGGGGGGACCTATTTGAGGTTTATAAGCATCTCAGGGGGCACTACTCAGTTGAGTGTCCTTACTTGGAGCTGACGGACGCTCGCCCCACAAGGGGTCACAGCTCAAGATTGAAGAAGCCGCAAGTCCAGAAAACCGTGAGGGCAAACTTTTTCGGAGTGAGGGTTGTAAACTCTTGGAACAATCTACCAGAGAGTGTTGTGACGGCACCGAATGTGAGCTCTTTCAAGAGAAGACTTGACCAACACTGGAGCGGGTTCAGGTACATTCAGGAGCCGGTGCATGCCCAGTATTTGCCAACAGTGCGTGACAGAGACGTGACCGATCGCCCGGGCGGCTAGCGAGCCGATCTTTTGGTGAAGAATATAAATGAAAAGAGACGTGACCGATCGCCCAAGCGGCTAACAAGCCGATCAGTGTATATCTGTTCCAGGGTGTTAAGTAATCAATTAACCTCCCCATAAAGTAGCAAAAAGCAAACGGCCACTTTGTGTTACGTTTTTAATTATAACGAAAAATTAGGTGTCCGTCTTTGTTGACAGAAAATTATTGTTGCAGAAATGAGTGGAATGGACAGACACAAAGGTGTACGATGTTTCGAAAGTGGTGCTGCAAAGAGAAAGACATCTAAAGAACGTGCTGAGAGAGAAGCTAAAGAATTTACAAAAACACGTCGACTGACTAAATTCCTCACTCGTCCATCAGCTTCAGAACATCTAGTCAGTGCTTCTGCAAGTTCATCTTCAAGGCAACCAGAACAAGTACCTGCATGTGATGCATCAGCTTCTTCTTTATATGACAGCTCTAGCCTATCTACAGGGGGAAATGACCAGACTGCCGAGGAGATTGAAATTGAATCAAAGCATGTGCCTCCCGAAGTGCAAATGGTCAGAACATTTGACAAAACATTTTATTGATTATTGGGCTGCGAACGGTTCTGACAGTCTCCACCACAGTGATGCTAAATTTTTGGATGCAAAATCAGCAGTACAAAACGATGCAAACACTGTCAGTCGCAAATGCACACCAACCATGTTTGAGCGAAGGAAACGAAATGGGGAAGTTGTAAAGCGTTCTTGGCTTTGTTTCTCCCCCGCAAATGGGCGGGTCTACTGCTTCTTTTGCAAGCTAATGGGTGTTTCAAGATCTCAATTCACATCTGATGGGTTCTGCGACTGGAAGCATGCTAATAGGCTTGTTGTCCATGAGCAATCAAAGGACCACATTCAAGCAGTTTTGTCAGCAGCAAGTCGTGCAAAGGGAGCTGGCGGTATAGATTCTAAACTAACTACGCATGTGGGTCAAATTGAGCAGTATTTGTGTAGTCTTCTAAAGCGATTGATCAGCGTGCTTAAATTTATATGTGAAAGAGGGCGAGCTCTTCGTGGAGATGATGAAGTAATTGGATCTCCTCATAATGGAAATTACTTGGGATTACTAGAGCTTTTGGCCGAGTATGATGACTTCCTCAGGCAACACATCCAGAATCATGCTAATCGTGGCACTGGTCATACAAACTACCTGTATTTGTCTTCAACCATCTGTGAAGAAATTGTCAGACTAATGGGCAATGAAGTACTGAACGAAATTATCTCACGTATAAAGCTCTCAAAATATTACTCAATTTCTCTAGATTCCACCCCTGATGAAGGCCATATTGATGAACTAACTCTGATAATCAGATTCATGGAGCATGACACACCTGTTGAGAGATTTGTGAAATTCTTGCCAATTGAAGGACACAAGGCTCAAGAAATGTTTAAAGGTTTGCTGAAGTTTTTTGCAGACAATGACATTGACATTCAAAATTGTCGTGGGCAATCTTATGATAATGCAACATCTATGAGTGGGAGGTACAATGGTCTGCAAGCCAAAGTTGTAGCTGAAAATCATCATGCAATTTGGATACCCTGTGCTGGTCAATCATTAAACTTGGTTGGAAAAGCTGCAGCTGAATGTTGTCAAGAAGCTATCTCATTTTTTTTTATTTTCTTGCGGCAATTTATGTGTTCTTCACAGCTTCTACACATCGTTATGCAATTCTTAGTGATTTATTGAAAACTGTAGCGTCTGGCCCGGTATCTGTGCCAAAGAGGATTTCCACAACAAGATGGTCCTGTCGAGCAGTTGAAGTGAAAGCAGTTGTCCAAGGTTATCTCCCAATCCGTGAAGCACTTGCTAAAATAGCTAGAGATGAAAATGAGACGAGCAAAACATGTTACAAAGCCAATGGTCTCCATGATAAGATGTGCAAGTTAGAGACTGCTATTTATGCTGTGCTTTGGCATGACATTCTTGGCAGAGATGATGCAACAAGCCATGCATTGCAAGATCCTAAACTCGATTTGAACACAGCAGTAGCAATGCTGAAGTCCTTGGAATGTTTTATACGAGAAAAAAGAGATTGCTTCCATGTTTATGAGAAGAAGGGAAGGGAAATGTCAGAAACTGGGGATTATTCACAGACACGCAAGCGTCAACGTAATGTACGACTCAATCCATTGGATTATGGACGATCAGAAGAAGCAGCCCTCTCACAATCAGAAAAATTTCGGGTTCAGAATTTCCTTCCAGTAATTGATCAGTTCCTGAGTTCACTGGATCAACGGTTAAAGGCCTATGAGGAAACCAGTTCACTTTTCGGGTTCTTGTCTAAACTGGAGTCAATGAATTGTGGCGAAAGTGAAGCAGCTGCAGCAAAATTGGTTGCTCAGTACAAAAATGATTTGGATCAAACACTTGGAGTTGAACTTGGGCAGTTTACAGCATTCTTCACTCAATTTCTTGAAGACGAAGATGATGAGAAAGGGAGGGCACATTACCTTTACAAGCTGTTGATAGACAAGAAAGTTGTAGATACATTTCCAAATATTGAAATAATGCTGTGGATGTACTTGGTGCTCATTTCACAAACTGTTCTGGAGAACGTTCTTTCAGTAAAATGAAGTTTATTAAAATCAGACTTCGTACTACAATGTGTCATGATAGGCTCAGCCACCTGGCTTTGATGAGTATCGAATATGACATCCTCAGAGAAATTGACTTCGAAAAGTTGATCAAAAACTTTGCAGCGGCCAGGTCACGTAAAGTGTCTGGTCTGTAAATATAGGTAATGTTTATATTCTATTTTGTAATTGATCAATGTTTGTGTTCAATATATTCATTATCCATGGTCGATGGTAGTTATTTTTATTAAAATTCTTGTTTTTTCAAACATGTTTATACTTTTGTTATATTTTATCAAATTCATTAAATTGTTTATTTGTTTTACTATTGGATGCAAAACTTCAATTTTATTTATAGTTCAGTTAATACTTATTCTGAATCTATCTGACCTTGGACTTAAAGAAGCCTATACATGCATTCTTGGACAGAACCATTATTTGAGTAGAGGTTTATCTGATTAATAATGCAAAGAATCATCTCTCTGTAACAACTAATAATATATTCTTTTCTGTGAAGTCTCTTGAAAATTTTTGACATGTGCGGTAGTAGCTATATCAGGGCTGGTCGACTTGAAACCACATGAGTGACTCCAGTCATGTCTCACTTTTGTGTGTGTGTGTGTGTTGGGAATTTGTACACTATCAATAAATATACAGTTAATTAAAAATTTCTCAATGTTCTAATTTCCTCAATATAACTGCATATGGCTTCAAAATTCTCCAAAGAAGTGTTCAAATTTTAAAATTTTCCCGGGGGGCTTACAGCGCCCCCCCGGAACTCCCAGATGTTTAGGCTCGCTTCAGTCGCCACCCCACCGTCTTTTTACTTTTTTACTTTTACCCTCTTCGCCATTGATCGGCTTGTTAGCCGCTTGGGCGATCAGTCACGTCTCTTTTCATTTATATTCTTCACCAAAAGATCGGCTCGCTAGCCGCCCGGGCGATCGGTCACGTCTGTCACGCACTGTTGGCAAATACTGGGCATGCACCGGCTCCTGAATGTACCTGAACCCGCTCCAGTGTTGGTCAAGTCTTCTCTTGAAAGAGCTCACACTCGGTGCCGTCACAACACTTTCTGGTAGATTGTTCCAAGAGTTTACAACCCTCACTCCGAAAAAGTTTGCCCTCACGGTTTTCCGGACTTGCGGCTTCTTCAATCTTGAGCTGTGACCCCTTGTGGGGCGAGCGTCCGCCAGCTCCAAGTAAGGACACTCAACTGAGTAGTGCCCCCTGAGATGCTTATAAACCTCAACTAGGTCCCCCCTTGCCCGTCTGTAGTATAAGCTAGGCAAGTTCAGGCGCTCCAATCTCGCAGGGTAGCTGAGATGCCGAAGTGCAGGCACCAGCTTGGTGGCCCTCCTTTGAACATTTTCAACCAACTGACAGTCCCTAGCATATCTCGGGGACCAGATGGGGTGACAGTACTCCAGATGGGGAAGCACTTCACTCCTGAAGATCGTTACGAGGGACGGACCGTCTAGATATCTGAACGACCTTCTTATAAGACCCAATAATTTATTTGCCTGATTTACCTTCTTCTCACAATGGCCCGAGAACTTCAGCTCATTGTCAACATACACACCTAGGTCCTTCTCACACACAGTCTCAACTAGTACATTTTCTTCATCCCGTTGGGACATATGGTACGCCTCCTTACCGTTGGTACGCCCCAGGTGCATCCTCTTACACTTCGTGACATTGAATCTCAGCAGCCATTCCTTCGACCATTCCTGGAGCCCACAGAGGTCCTTCTGCAGCTCTTCACAGTCCGCTTGGTTCTTAATTTCCCGAAATAACTTGGCGTCATCGGCAAATATTTGTATGGAGGAGTGTACAACGTCAGGCATATCATTATGAAACAAACAAACAACAGCGGGCCCAATACACTACCCTGCGGTACCCCACTTGTTACAGGTACAGATGACGATTTCGTGCCATTAATCACCACACATTGCTTGCGGTCATGTAGAAAGTCTTCTATCCACGCTAGGACATTTCCCCGAATTCCGTACCCTTCCAGTTTGATTTTCAGCCTTTCGTGGGGTACACTGTCGAAAGCCTTGGCAAAATCTAGGTAAATATTGTCGATATTACCACCCCGTTCTAGAATATGGGTCCAAATATCCAATACCTTGAGCAATTGTGTCAAGCAAGAGCGCCCCGGCATAAAACCGTGTTGGCAATCTTTTACAAGGTTGTTTCGTAGTAGATGTTCCATCGCTGCATCTCTGATAATACTCTCAAGTACTTTACATATTATGCTGGTCAGGCTCACCGGTCTATAGTTGTTCGTGGAGTGCCTATCGCCCTTCTTGAAGATAGGACTCACATAAGCCACTTTCCATTCACTGGGGACCATTTGTTCATCCAGGCATTTACAAAACAGAATCTTCAGGGGCTCTGCAAGCTCGTTGCACAGCTCCCTTAGCACTCTAGGATGCACCATGTCAGGTCCAGGACTCTTATGGACCTTTAGCCTGGACAGTTTATTTCTAATACCCTCTTCTGTGAACACAATGTGGGTCAGTGCTGTGTCGAACCGTCTGTCCTCAAACGCAGGAAGGTTAGTTGCATCCTCTCTTGTGAACACTGAGGAAAAGAAGCTGTTCAATGCCTCAGCTTTATCCTGGTCAGAATCTGCGTAACTACCATCTTCAAGCCTCAGGTCTGATACTCCTACTCGCGTTTTCAATTTCGACTTTGCATAGCGGTAAAACGCCTTTGGGTTTGACTTGACCTCGCGTGCAACCAGCCTCTGGAACTCCTTTTCAGCCCTCCTACACTCTATCTTTGCTTGGTTTCTGGCTCTTGCATACATCCTCCTGTCTTGCTCATCGTTTGACCCAACCCACGTCTTGAATTTCTGGGTTTTCTTCTTAATTTTGTCGACCGCCGCATGGTTCATGTGTAGGGATCCCCTCGTATTCCTAGAAGCACTGGGTTTGGTCTTGGGTATATATTTATCGATCAAATGGGTCATTTTACTAGTTATGATATTCAGCGTAGTGTCTGCGTTCTTGTACCTTTATAAGTCAGGCCAGTTGATACCCCTCATCTCTTCCCTCATCCCCGAAAAGTGAACTGGTTTCCTCATAGGCCTTTAACCGTTGATCCAGTGAACTCAGGAACTGATCAATTACTGGAAGGAAATTCTGAACCCGAAATTTTTCTGATTGTGAGAGGGCTGCTTCTTCTGATCGTCCATAATCCAATGGATTGAGTCGTACATTACGTTGACGCTTGCGTGTCTGTGAATAATCCCCAGTTTCTGACATTTCCCTTCCCTTCTTCTCATAAACATGGAAGCAATCTCTTTTTTCTCGTACAAAACATTCCAAGGACTTCAGCATTGCTACTGCTGTGTTCAAATCGAGTTTAGGATCTTGCAATGCATGGCTTGTTGCATCATCTCTGCCAAGAATGTCATGCCAAAGCACAGCATAAATAGCAGTCTCTAACTTGCACATCTTATCATGGAGACCATTGGCTTTGTAACATGTTTTGCTCGTCTCATTTTCATCTCTAGCTATTTTAGCAAGTGCTTCACGGATTGGGAGATAACCTTGGACAACTGCTTTCACTTCAACTGCTCGACAGGACCATCTTGTTGTGGAAATCCTCTTTGGCACAGATACCGGGCCAGACGCTACAGTTTTCAATAAATCACTAAGAATTGCATAACGATGTGTAGAAGCTGTGAAGAACACATAAATTGCCGCAAGAAAATAAAAAAAAATGAGATAGCTTCTTGACAACATTCAGCTGCAGCTTTTCCAACCAAGTTTAATGATTGACCAGCACAGGGTATCCAAATTGCATGATGATTTTCAGCTACAACTTTGGCTTGCAGACCATTGTACCTCCCACTCATAGATGTTGCATTATCATAAGATTGCCCACGACAATTTTGAATGTCAATGTCATTGTCTGCAAAAAACTTCAGCAAACCTTTAAACATTTCTTGAGCCTTGTGTCCTTCAATTGGCAAGAATTTCACAAATCTCTCAACAGGTGTGTCATGCTCCATGAATCTGATTATCAGAGTTAGTTCATCAATATGGCCTTCATCAGGGGTGGAATCTAGAGAAATTGAGTAATATTTTGAGAGCTTTATACGTGAGATAATTTCGTTCAGTACTTCATTGCCCATTAGTCTGACAATTTCTTCACAGATGGTTGAAGACAAATACAGGTAGTTTGTATGACCAGTGCCACGATTAGCATGATTCTGGATGTGTTGCCTGAGGAAGTCATCATACTCGGCCAAAAGCTCTAGTAATCCCAAGTAATTTCCATTATGAGGAGATCCAATTACTTCATCATCTCCACGAAGAGCTCGCCCTCTTTCACATATAAATTTAAGCACGCTGATCAATCGCTTTAGAAGACTACACAAATACTGCTCAATTTGACCCACATGCGTAGTTAGTTTAGAATCTATACCGCCAGCTCCCTTTGCACGACTTGCTGCTGACAAAACTGCTTGAATGTGGTCCTTTGATTGCTCATGGACAACAAGCCTATTAGCATGCTTCCAGTCGCAGAACCCATCAGATGTGAATTGAGATCTTGAAACACCCATTAGCTTGCAAAAGAAGCAGTAGACCCGCCCATTTGCGGGGGAGAAACAAAGCCAAGAACGCTTTACAACTTCCCCATTTCGTTTCCTTCGCTCAAACATGGTTGGTGTGCATTTGCGACTGACAGTGTTTGCATCGTTTTGTACTGCTGATTTTGCATCCAAAAATTTAGCATCACTGTGGTGGAGACTGTCAGAACCGTTCGCAGCCCAATAATCAATAAAATGTTTTGTCAAATGTTCTGACCATTTGCACTTCGGGAGGCACATGCTTTGATTCAATTTCAATCTCCTCGGCAGTCTGGTCATTTCCCCCTGTAGATAGGCTAGAGCTGTCATATAAAGAAGAAGCTGATGCATCACATGCAGGTACTTGTTCTGGTTGCCTTGAAGATGAACTTGCAGAAGCACTGACTAGATG